CATTCAACCAGGGTGAATCCCTCATTTAAACCTTTACCTGGAAGATTCAGCTGCAGTAAATGCTTGGTCAATGTCAATATGTCATCAAGGGCTATTTCATGTATATGGCAACTTTTATTTAGAATGTAAATGTTCACCAATAATCCCCCCTCCACCAAACTTTACACAATGCAGTGACGCAAGTACCTTCACCTGGCATTTGCCAAACCCAGACACGTCCATCAGATTACTAGACAGAAGCGTGATTGGTCACTCCAGAGAACACGTCTCCACTGCTCTAGAGTCCAGTGGCGGCGTGCTTTACACCACTGCATCCGACACTTTGCATTGCACTTGGTGATGTAAGGCTTGAATGCAGCTGCTCGGCCATGGAAACCCATTCCATGAAGCTCTCTACACACTGGTGTTGTACTAATCTGAAGGCCACACCAAGTTTGAAGGTCTTTAGCTATTGACTCTGCAGACAGTTGGTGACTTCTGCGCACTGTGCGCTTCAGCATGCGCTGACCCCACTCTGTCATTTGACGTGGCCTACCACTTGGTGGCTGAGTTGCTGTTGTTCCCAGTTGCTTCCACTTTGTTATAATCCCACTAACAGTTGAGCGTGGAATATTTAGTAGCCAGGAAATGTCACGGATGGACTTATTGCACAGGTGGCCACCTATCACGGGACCACGCTTGGTGTCACTGAACTCCTGAGAGCGACCCATTCTTTCACAAATGTTTGTAGAAGCAGTCGGCATGCATAGGGACTTGATTTTTGGAGGTAATTGGAACACCTGAATCCAATGATTTGGAGGGCAGGCCCAATACTTTCGGCAATATAGTGTATATCAATAACAGCCACAAAGGTTATAAGTCCACTTTATGTACACCAAATGTCTTTGCAAACCCAGATATTACTTTTTATAAGTAGAAGTGATATCATCACTGTGCAGCCTGTACAGAAAGCAGAGCTGTGGGGGGGGGGGGGGGGGGAAAACAAAGTAGACTCCATCTACAGGAGGGGACGGAGACAAGGGAAAGTCTCACAATGAATTAATGCACAGATCTGGAAGAAATACACAAAGCACACCAAGATTCAAATAAGACTTCCAAGAATCTAGACTTTGCAGAATGTCAAAGTATGCAACGTTAGCCTCCGGAAAGGTTGCCATTATGTCACACAGCCTTTGTCTAACCAGAAAACTGACACTACCGCCCCAGCCAGCTGGACTGCACAGGTATGGGGCTGATATGTGAAACGGCATAGCAGTATATGCAAGTATAGGTACCTCTGGAAATGCTCGCCAGGAAAAGTATTCAAATCAGTGACTGCTAAAGCAGAAATGAGAAAGGAAAGAACCTAATAAAAATTCTGTAACAATTTCAACAGGGTCCATGATGACAAATCTGCAACGGAGTTTACCTTCAATGATAGACACAACTCTATGCAATCAGATCCAGAGATATAGGCAGATGAGGTTTTATGTAAATCTTGACATGTAAGCTCCCAGGATCAGGGCCCTCCTATTCCCTCTTGTATTCAACTGTATTGTTGCTGTATTGTCTCCTGTTATATTGTAAAGAACTGTGCAAACTGTTGGCGCTATATAAATCCTGTATAATAATAGTAATAAATGTTGGGTTTGGACAAGTCCCTCCCTCCTCTTCCTGAGCCTCCCTATAAGTTTAGAAATAACCTCAAAAATCAATAAGGCTCCATGTACACGGAACACTTCTGAATGATGGAAACTGACTGCTGGAAAACGTAGGTAAAAAAAAAAAACGTCTGTTTAGCCGCGTCTGCATAACACATTTATGCGCGTCTATGTCCATTTGTGTTTAGAAGCGTTTTTTAAAGATAAGCACAGGAGACCTTCCAAATGCCCAGAATGCACTGAAAAGTGGTAAATTATTAACTATTTCAGACTGTTTCAGAGAAATACAGAGAGTAGAAGCAGAGACAGCAGTATGTGTTGAGATTAGCTTAGGTGTGAGTTGCTCATTAACATTTCTTTTGTTTCCAAGGGTGGGAAAGGTGTCTGGTGGAGGGAGTCATTAAGGTCACCTGGCAAGGGGTCTGCATGAGGAATTTGAGGTGTGAATGGTCATTAACATATCTTTTGTTTCCAAGGGTGGGAGAGGAGGTGTGAGGTCATTAACATATCTTTTGTTTCCAAGGGTGGGAGAGGTCTGAGGTGTGAATTGGTCATTACAATGTGTGACAAGCTTGGTAGGAACATCCTGTGTTCAGTGTTTTGTCCATCTGAGTACCTTGAAAAACGCTTTCCATGCATTTTTCATGATGAAAAAAAAAGACTCTGGACAGCATCGGGAACTGGAAGAGTTAAAAAAAAAATGTTCAAAATTAAAACGCCTGTAAACGTGATTTACCACGTTTTGCCTCCTTTTTACTTTTGAAACGCTGATAAAATCGACTGCTAAACGCAAGTATTCTGCATTAAAAAAAAACGACTCTAAACTCAAATGCCTGTAAAGGAAGATGTGTACATACATGGACACAGGAAAACATTAGGGAGAGTTTAGGGGCTGCTGAAAAAAAAAAACCGCTGAACAGCCCCTAAACGTGAGTTTATCAGCTGCAGAGTACATGAGCCCTAAGGAGGGAGAAGTGGGCCATGCTGGACTTTTACGTGAAATTTTGAGATCTACATACAAGTTTGGTTGCCTATATTTCTGAATCCACTCACATGGTTTTCACTAAAGGTAAACTCTGCTTTTATGCATTTTCATCACATGCATTGTATGAATGTCCAGGTTTATGACAGGTGTAAAACTAGTTGTACAGGTGTCCTGTTTTTCTCTGCGGACCCCCACAATGAACCCAGTGACAATTAAGAACTTAGTATCACCACCTCCCTTCTGCCCTATTTGGGGGAAAAAATGGAGAAGTGGACATCTATTTCTGGAGTGTTGTTTTTAAATGGAACTTCAAAAATATCCCTCAGGCAGCAGCCAGCTTGGCCATTAATGTCTGTGAGGGTCATAAACACAGTACACAGAGCCAATCTGAGCAGCTCTATACCACATGATCACTGTACTTGAGCAGTCACTAATGTAAACAGCGTACTGTTTACATTGGTAGAGCCCATTCTTTCAACTGAGGAAGGAGGAACTAATGAAGGATTGATCATTGGTTAGTTGCAAGGCACAAGCAGCAGCAATTCAGGGTAGGAGGGGGGGTTCATTGTGGGACCATTTTTTAACCATCTCCCCCTCCTCTCCTGTACATCCATCCTTTAAAGCACTGAGCAAACTGTTGGCGCTATATAAATCCTGTATAATAATAATCCTGTCACTGGTGACCTGTATACTACCTTCTTCACCTCCCCTATCCTGCCCATCTGAATATTAACCTCTTCATCCTCCCACCATGTGACCTGTACGTTAACCCCTTCATCTCCTTATCCCCCCTGTGTATGACTAATACTTTTAATATATCTAGTGCACCATTATCAAGCTCTTTATTTTACCCTCCTCAATATCCGCATGTTTCTTCATTTTCAAAGCAACAGGTTCAGTTTAATGCCCCTACTCCCCGGCAGCACATATTTACCTATGTGGGCTCCAAGACTCTTCAAAGGATGTTTACCTTTGGAACATGTTCCACCCAAATTTAGGGTAGAACTTGCCTTCTCTCCCCCTCCCTGTGACAGTGGGTGGGAGATCTTCTCTCCACACCCACTGTCACAATTTAATTTAAAAACAGCAGGGCCGTGTGCAGCTATGCCCACATGGCCCCATGGTTCATTTACAGAGTTCTGTGAATTTATGAATTCCAAGTACCAACAGCCCCTGCAGACGACGGCTTGTGGTTCTCCCTGGTGAGTCCTCTCGTAGTTCATGAAGTTTTCCTGCAATTCCGTAACTGCCTGCCCATACAAGGTATGGGCAGACAGTGTACTGAGAGACTGCAGGATCCTGGTATTGCACCCACAATCTGCGGATCACAGGTGCAATGCTTTACAGGTTTCAGTGTAAAAAAAATAATAATTGATGGTGCTTTACAAGTACCTGTAATAAATTGACATTTGTTTACCTGCAAAAAGATGTTCATTTATCCTCGAAAGAGAAATTTCACCACCGTTGCACTTTTTTTCCCCTTGTACATTTTCGTGTTATGCAGGGTTGTCCTCAATTCACAAGCTCACCTGCACTGCCCTGCTGTGATACACTGATCTGCTGCCACAGACCAGGTCCTGCACTGCCATCTCCTTCTCTGATGTCATCAGAAGCTGGCTGTTCCTCCCGCAGCCGGTCCTCGATGACATGCTGCAAAGTAAGGGCACTGCCTACTGTGTCCCTGCTCCTACAACCTCCAGGGATATGTGATGTTAATATACCAGGAACTTATAGGAGCAGGGATATGTCAACCTGGCCTAACCCCTGGTTAACATCTATGCAGGTGGTGCCGCTGCAGAAACCAGACAATACCTGCAGCCGCACCACCCACACAGAGGAATGCAGGACCCGCAGACGGGTGCCATTAATTCTAATGGCATTCCACCCGCACTGGAAATCACAAACCGTACTGGGAACCTCGGATACCGAGTGGGCTGCGATTTCCAAAGTAGTGCAGGGACTTCTTCTTCCCTGCGTGTCCTGAGGCACGGGAATCCATGAAATGAATGGGCTCTCATGCCCACGCAAATCATGGCCCGCACAGATGTGAACCAGGGATAAGTGAGAATGATGACATGGACGGGTATGACCTGACAAAAAAAAAAAAAAAAATGATAAAAAAAATATATTGCTTCCATGTGATATTGCTAGACCAATCATCAATGTTATCACATGAGAAGTGCTCCTTCATGCTGCGTATTGTTGCATGCAGCTGAACCTAGAAACAGGGAAAAGAGAAGGTCAGTACAGTACCAGTGCAGCTGGAGGACGCATCAAAGTGAACTTTTTTTTTTTGCCTTCTATAGGAGTTCTATCCTTTCCCCCCACTGTATCCAAAAAGAAAACTTATAATTTAAGCAATACAACAGACCTACCCATTTATCAAGTGGAACTTGTGACAAGGAGCCGGTGCCCTGGTACAAATCTAGAGTGAGCTGCTCCAGACTGAGCTTCTCCTGCAGGAAGTGACCCAGATAGCGCTGCAGGAGGTACCGGCAGGCCCGCTTCTTGATGGACTCGGAGAAGGGCCACGGCATGGTTGCGAAGAATGAGGGCTCCCAGAGCCCCGACTATGAAGCTACAAAGCCAGTCTGCCAGTCAGGAGTCCAAAATTCAATCTTGCATCAACTGACACAAAACTGCAATCACATAGTCAGTCAATGTTGCAGGTAGAGTTGGGGCGTCAACCAAAAAACGTTATTCTCTTATGCCCAATCTTAAAATTTTTACAGCCAGGCGCACACACACTACAATCAGAAAAATAGATCATCATCACCACCGGACAGACAGTCGCCGAGTGAAGACCACAGTCTGACATGCATTGAAAGTTGAGTGACAGTCAAGTAATCGTAGTCAGGGGCTTGTCTTTGCAACCAGGTAGTAACAACAAGTCACATATTGCTCATATTGACATCTGCAGTCAGACAATCACCACGGGTATTTAAATGACCACAAACTAATGAAGATCAATCACACCTTGTTCTGATGTAGGACACAAGATATGAAGCATGTGGTCTCTGATAAGGAGAGATAATAAAGCTTCATATGCCGAAATCAAAACTGCCAGAACTGTCACCGGCACCAGTGACAGAGGGACAAAGCAGACCAGCAATAAAATATGACACAAGGCAGGCACACAGCAAGCATCAACAGTCAGTTATATGTCAGAAAAACTCAACCCATAAGACCTGATGTCACACAAGGACATTCTATGGTGACATAACACACAGGAAGGCAATCACCCAGCTAACTTACACTACGGGAAAAAAAAGAAATCGCTCATGAATAGTCATTCAGTGACAAGTGGCAGTTGTACTCAGCAGGCACTGCAACACACTGACACAGAACCAATAGGGAAAGACACAGGAATTCAAATGTACACAATTCAAAACACAGCACTGACAAGGCAGCACATTGGTGCACCAAGAATCACACAGTGATGACTTTATTCACAGAGTGCCTCATCACACACACAGTGGCAGAAAATCACAGACACACGAAAGTAGACAATGACACAATCACAAAGAAAAGAATTTGACAGTCGCAATCATACAACACAGCAGACAGAGACACGATCCACACAGAAAAAGGCCAGAGACACAATCAGTCACACACACAGGGGGATAGGGACGCAATCAAATGCACAGGGTGTGATAGGGACACAATCAAATGCTCAGAGGGTATGGGGATGTAATCAAATACATGGAAAAGGGGGGGGGAATGCAGTCAAACGTACGGGTTAGGGACGCAAACACACAGAGGATAAGGCTAAATGCATAGGGGGGGATGGGGGTGCAATCGAAAGCTCAGAGTAGAGACGCAATCAAACGCAGAGGGGGGGATGGAGGCGCAATCAAACGATGAGGGGGGGAATGGGGCACAAACGCAGAGGGGGGATGGGAGCGCAATTAAATGAAGAGGGGGGGATGGGGCGCAAACGCACAGGGGGGTGAGGGCACAATCAAACGCAGAAGGGGGATGGGGGCGCTATCAAACGCAGATGGGGGCGCTATCAAACGCAGAGGGGGGGGTTATCAAACACAGACGGGGATGGAGGCTCTATCAACACAGGGGGGATGGGGATGCTATCAACATGGAGGGGGGATGGGGGGGGCACAATCAAACACAGAAAGGGATGGGGACACAATCATTCAGAGAATATCTCTCACACACAAAGGCACCCAACCCCAGCAGTGACATAGTCACACATGCAGGCAGCCATTGCCATGGCAGTCACATACACTCAGAGTCAGTGGCTGTCAAGCTGCAAGCAGGGCCTATGTGCACAGTCCAGCCTCGAGGTCTCCCCCGGCTCCCCAAGATTGCACGTGCCCTTCCTAAGCCCGAGTCATGCGAAGCCCGGGTCTCCCTACACCGGCTGAGCTCGCTGTGCTCCCAGGACATAAACAATGACGTCACTTTCCTCACACGGAAGCAGCTTAGGTAACGCAAGGCTCCATCTTTATTACTGGCAATGGCCAACAGCTGAGCCCTAACCAAACGCTTTACGTCCCAAAAACGTAAATCTTAGACACTGTTTAAAAAAAAAATAACCCCGTACGGTATACCCTCAGTAGAGGAAATCTGTCGTATGTTCACCGAGCTAGTGCCACAATAGACAGACAACATTTGCACGGTCATTACTCAGAACTCTAAATTGGAAAAATGATGTCTCCGCTCTAGGAGCCATCTTGTTGGCGTCCCCGCTCACTCTATTAATGCGGCCGGTCTTCACAAACATGGCTACGCCATGAAGTTGAGTGGAGACGTATTGTGACCGGAGTGGGCATTAAAGGAAGTGACGTTGGTGAAAAGGCAATGTTGATGCCGGAAGTGCTATGAGCTTTGGAAATTTGTCCTGTGCATCTGGAATCTGGAAGGTAATTGTGAGAGTTTGGCTTGGGATGGGTGGAGGGATATTCACAGACTGGAGAAGTTGTATTATACTGGACTGAGGGGGGGATCCTGAGTGCAGGGCTGAGCACTGTGCCTCATGTCCAGGGACAGGCTCGGAGGACTTGGCTTACCGGTGTCCCTGGACATCAGAACTGGATCAATAAATCAGAGAGGCCTTCAAATTAAAGTTCACGTAAAGAGATTTTTTTTTTTAATTCTGGACAGATCAGGAATCATAAAAATAGTTTGAAATGCAGAACTCCAGATCATCAGCTGAATACACCGATATAATACATAGAAGCGATCTGTTTTATCTACCAAAGGATTTGTATTTCTGTTCATCCAGTCCTGAGACTCACACAGCTCTGCCACAGAGTACAGACCTGTCTGGCAGGATAGGAGACCTGATTTTTCTGCTCTGCAGTTCAGGAACACTTAGAGGTCTAGTCCCTCCCCCAGCCTGTGATTGGATGAGAGGAAAAGCAGCAGACTGATAAGTGAGAGGCGAAGCAACAAACCGACAATTGCATCTTTCTGTCACTCTGCTCTCTCCTCCTATCTGCCTATCCTTGCAGTACAGCAGCCTGGTGGTGCTGTTTCTCCATATCTCACCCAGAGCTTCAAGATGCTGATACCAAGAAAGATCCAGGCAGTTACGCTTAAAGTCCTCCCTTTTATTGGGCCTAAGGTCTGAGGGTTGGTAAAAACCTGCAGTTGAGTTATGTTTTTACCACCACTCTCCCGATTGCCCCCCCTTTAGCTGTAGAGACAGTAGCCAAGGGTGTGCACATGCCGTGGCCATGGCAGTAATGATACTCCTTGTCATTCAGATGCACTTAGTGCCTGCTGAACGAGACCCATTCAAGTAACAGGGGCCACTCTGCAAATGCATGCAATGCAGCCAGTGGCGGTGCGCTAGTGCGGGGTTGAAGGGGTTACAGCAGGCAGTGAGGAGGCGCTCCAATGCCTCCTCACCACCTGGCAAAGGCTCTTGAAATGACCTGCAGCTTTAAGGTGGGAATACACGATGAAAAAATTGACCGATCGGTCATCCGACGACCAAGATGCGTTTGTTCTTTGGTCGAAATCATGGCCCACATTAACCAATCTAAAAAATCGTTCATTGGGCAATACGTAGTGTTGACGTCTTCCATACAAGTGGAAGTGATGTGGTGTGCGTGTGACCTTGTAGCCACGCCCTTCCGGCCAGAATGAGCGATATGCACAACAATTACCAGCAATGAGTATAATATCGTTTATTACATGACCTATATACATAAATAGTGAGACATAAAATATAATCTGCAGAATTCTGGTTTCATCATCTCATTAGGCCGATACTTTTAACATTTGGATTTTTCGTTCGTGTTTACGAAGATTCCTCGGACATAAACATCCGAGTCATCTTCTGTTTCTGCTCATGCGTGATAGCGCTTGGTAGATTTTTTTTTTTGTTAGGGCCGTCATACCACACGCATAGAAAATCGGTAGTTCATATGCGAAACGACAACATTTTTTCACTGTTGTGCAACCGGATTTTTTCATTCACAATATCGTTATTGTTTTTAAAACATCCTGCTCATCAACGAAGAGAAAATCGCTCGATCAGTGGTTCCACAAAATTGTTCGTACGATTTTCTTATCGTGTGTACGAGGCATTAGTTCTGCTTTAAATGGTTTGTCTCAACCCTCCAACTGTCCCTTATTCTGGGCAGATTGGTCTATTTCCCACCTCCCGTCCGGCCGTTGTATATAAACGGCCGGACGGTGGCACTGCAGGGTAAAGTGGCTGTTTAAAATGGCCTCCACGCACCCCGCTTGTGCGCACTCCCTAGGAGCGTGCAGCACAGCGATCTGGTGCCTGCTGTGTCCTCCGGACACAGTGGAACACCGATCGTCAGACGGGACCTCTGTGCAAGGTCCCGATCATGTGATCAGTGATTGGCCAATCAGCGATCTCATGCAGAGTAGTAAGCAAGATGTCACTTGTGACATAATTGCTTACTACGTGTGATTTCTATGAATGATCACAGAGATCACATGGTAAAAGGCTATTCACAACAGCCTTGTACCATGTTACAAGCTGTGACCAATCACAGCTCACACAGTAGTTTTCAATGGCTGCAGGAGAATGCAGCCAGAGAGAAGGGGAAATGATTGCTTTTACAGCCTTTATGGGTGTAAAAGCAATCAGGTGTAAAAAAAAAAAAAAAAAAATCTTCATCACCCCCCACAAGTAGTACAGTGTCACCATGGTGACACTGTACTGCTAGGGTGACAGTATGTAAAAAAAAAAAAATAATAATTAAAAAAAATGTAAAAAAAAGTTTAAAAATTTGTAATTTTTGGTTATAAACTAATTTGGGTTTTTTTTTTTTTTTTACTAAAAAGATAACAGAATAAATTTTGGCCAAGATTTATGATGAAATACTATTTATTGGCAAAATTTTATAAGGAAAAACACTTTTTTCAAAATTTGTGGACTTTTTCATTTACATAGCAAAAAAAATAAAAATCCCAGTGGTGAATAAATACCACCAAAATAAAGCTTCATCTGTCTCAAAAAATGCTAAAAAATTCATAGAGGTACAGTGTTGCATGACCGCACAATTGTCATTCAAAGTGTGACCGCACTGAAAGCTGAAAATTGGCCTGGACAGGAAGAGGGGGGAAAGTGTCCGGACTGGAAGTGGTTAAATGAATTTGAAAAATAACAGACCTATTGGTGGGATCAACAGGTATTCCAATTATGTTACAGGCAGGACTCGAACAACGACTGCTGTGTTAAAGTGGAACTTTAGTCAGAAAATGAAGTCCGGCTAGATGACTTCAGGCTGGCCCCTTTTGCAGGTATAGCTATGTAAAACATTAAAAATAAGTGCCTATACGGGTTAAAATACACTGTGTCACCCTGCTCTACTACACATGCTTAAAGCGGAGTTCCGCTCACGCTGTCAAAAAATAAAAGTCAGCAGCTACAAAAACTGTAGCTGCTGACTTTTAAAAATCACACACTCACCTGTCCCTCGGTCCCACGGGTGTGTCCCCTGCAGCCCGTTTTTACTGTCCGTCTTCTCTTCCTGGGCGCCGGCATCTTCAGTGTGGGAATCCGGCTGTGACAGCTTGCAGCTTCACAGCCGGGTACCCACTGCGCATGCGCTAGTAGCGCTGCGCTTCCTGAATGGTCCTGTAGTCTTCTGGGACCTGTCATGTGTCTCAAAGGACTACGGGGAGGGAGGGGGGAGGACACCTACCACTTCCGATCGCCTAGGCGATCGGAGTGGAAGTGGGAGCAGGTACTTGTGAAATTCGGGTACCCACTCCCCCCCCCCCCCCAAAATGTGCCAATCCTTAATGGGGAGCGCGGGGGACCAGTCTTTAATGTTGCAACTTCCCCGTTTGGGTGGAGCTCGGCTTTAATTGCTCTCTATTTTTATAGACTGGCGAATTTGTAGAGGCCGACCTGATCAGCAACAGGAAGGGAAGATCAGCGAGTAGATGTTCGCTGATCTCCTTCCCCTCTATCCGGTGGCATCTGTCTTGCTGATCTCGCGTCTGCTGATGGGCATGCAGAGCCCAGGAGACATGCATGTACGGGGAGCGACCCAAAGCCCCAATTTTTTTTTATTACCTTGGTGGAAGTAAACGGGGATATATCTCTCCATACACTACGTATACACACTGGTAATGGTAGGTTTCCGTGATCCACTTCATTTATTGTTTTTGTGGTTAAATTGTCATGTGTATAGCCGTACGTACGTCGATTTAATATTGCGATTGAACTTTCAGTTCCCTTTTTTGCTGAAACAGTAAAGTATTCGAAGACATAAACTTGTGATTGAGATCGATCCAAGGAGATGGATTTAAAACTGCTCCAATCAAAAGCGGTGGGAAAATCTAATTGCTTTAGACAAAATTGTTTATACTTATTTACTCGTTTCTTATTGATCTTTCAGCAAACTGTACTGAAGCTGACAATTTATTGGGCAGTTTAGAGAAAACATTAAACATCAGCATTAATGAATGACTCTCGTTTCTGGTCTCTGTTTATTATTTGCTTGGTTTGGGAAAGCTTTATTGATGCTTTATTTGTTGAACCTTCCTGGTCATTAATGAATGTGATGGCTTTGTTTTTCCTCCAGAAGATGGAAGTGGATTACAACCCCATGGATTTGCCTATTAATGCTGTCCATGATCAAGATTTGGACAGAGATATGGAAGGGGCAGAGGTGAAAGACATGAGGCTGGAAGCTGAAGCCATCGTGAATGATGTCTTGTTTTGCCGTCGCCAACATGTTTGTCTCCAAAAACCTGCCATGCGCTGTGGACATGGCCTACATCAATGTGGAGATTAAGGAGGGGACCAGATACTGCCTTGAACTCACAGATGCTGGATTAAGGGTAACTATCTCTTCCTTTATATTTCAGACCAAGAGACTTTGGGAGATTTCTTTCTCTCTCTCTCTTTCTCTCTCTCTCTCTCTTCCTCTCTCCTCTCTCCCCTCCCCCCCCCCCCCCCCCCCCCCTGCTCTCCCTCTGTCTCTCACAGCTGGAGCCTATCTCTTCCTTTATATTTCAGACCAAGAGACTTTGGGAGATTTCTCCCCCCCCCCCTCTCTCATCCCTCTCCCCCCCTCCTCTCCTCTCCCTCTCCTCTCCCCCCCTCCTCTCTCTCTCTCCTCCTTTCCCATCCCCCCTCTCCCCTCTCCTCTCCTCCCTCCTCTCCCTCTCCCCTCCTCTCCCCCCCTCTCTCCCTCCCCCTCTCCCCCCTCTCTCTCTCCCTCCCCCCTCTCCCTCCCCCCCCCCCTCCCTCTCCCCCTCTCCCTCTCCCCTCTCTCTCCCCCCCCCTCTCTCTCCCTGTCCCTCCCTCTCTCCCTCTTCCCCCCTCCCTCTCTCCCTCCCTCCCTCTCTCTCTCCCTGCATCCCTCTCTCCCATCTCTCCCCCCCCCTCTCTCTCTCTCTCTCCCCCCCCTCTTTCTTTCCCCCCTCTTTCTTCCCCCCCTCTCGCTCTCTTTCCCCCTCTCTCTCTTTCCCCCCCCTCTCTCTTTCCCCCCCCCCCCTCTCTCTTTCCCCCCCCCTCTCTCTCTTCCCCCCCCTCTCTCTCTTTCCCCCCCCTCTCTCTCTTTCCCCCCCCCTCTCTCTCTTTCCCCCCCCCTCTCTCTTTCCCCCCCCCCCTCTCTCTTCCCCCCCCTCTCTCTCTCTTTCCCCCCCCTCTCTCTCTTTTCCCCCCCCTCTCTCTCTTTCCCCCCCCCTCTCTCTCTTTCCCCCCCCTCTCTCTCTGTCCCCCCCCTCTCTCTCTTTCCACCCCCTCTCTCTCTTTCCACCCCCTCTCTCTCTTTCCCAGCCAATTATTCATGGGCAAGACCTGCTGATCGGCTGTGTTGACAAATAGCAAAGGGCTCTGTACAGAGGGAATGGTATCTGTGTTTTTCATGGGATGAGAAATAAAGAGATCATTAGTAAAAGCAGCACACTTTACACATAGTAAACATTGTTAGGCACACAATTAACCCCTTGATCACCCTAGATGTTAACCCCTTCCCAGCCAGTGTCATTAGTACAGTGATAGTATACAGTATTATCACTGATCATTGTATTAATGTTGCTGGTAATTTCATTGGCAGTTATTCAGTTTCAAAAACCATGAAGTCCAAAATCACAAAATTCATTCACAGTCTGACAGGTGACTACTTCTTGCAACTCCAAAATTGTGTTCCACCACAGTGTGTAGCTGAAATGGGAACTCACCAGATATACCCCGGCCAACAAAGTAGCCAACATGCTTGTATACAGATCCTCTCTGCCTTAGGGCTCATGTACACGGGGCGTTTGGAAAACTCTTCTGAACGATGGAAACTGACTGCTGGAAAATGTAGGTTAAAAAATGTCAGTTTAGCCGCGTTTGCATACCGTGTTTATGCGCACCTCATTTAAGTGCATTTGCATTAAGCGTTTTTAAAAGAACCTCATTAGACCTTTCCCAAATGCCCATAATAATAGCAAATCATTAACTATTTCAGATATTTTGAGAGGAATAGAGAGAGCAGAAGCAGAGAGAGCAATATGTGTTAAGATGACCTGTCTTTTCTGGTTGTATTCACTATGGATCCCATCATGAGCATAATGCCGCACGTTCTACCATTTTTTTTTTCCTTCACGCGAAACCTGGAACTGACTGCGCTGGTGTCCATTTGAATACATGGAAACCACTGTGCATGCATTTCTGATGATAGAAAAAAGGCTCTGGACAGCATCTGGACATGGAACAGTTAAATGCTTCTAAACATAAACGCGGTTCTCTGCGTTTACAAGCATTTGCAAGCATCTGGTGTTTGAAACGCCAGTAAAATCTACTCCTGAACGCAAGTTTGGTGCGTTCAAAAAAACTACTGTAATCTCAACTGCCTGTAAATGACGATGTGTACATGGACACATAGGAAAACATTAGGGAGAGTTCAGGGGCTGCTGATAAAAACGCAGAACAGCTCCTGAATGTCATTTTAGGAGCTGCAGTGTACATGAGCCCTTAGGTGTGAGGTGCAAAATCCTCCAACTTCCTGCAATCAAATGATATTATACCACCTTCTCCATTCTCAGAAAATTTCCAAGAAGATGTTCATAGTACAGCAAGTTTTATTTAAAATTGGGTATATGTAATAAAAATTCACTCACATATTACAGGTGCCACAGGAAGCACCAACCCATACAGCTCACTTCATACATGTTAGAAATAAACAGAACTGTTCCTCCGTTCCCTCCCAAATAAACATAATATCATCAATAAATCTATGATAAAACCTTCTCTCTGCACAGGGGCTGAAGAAAATCTCTTCTTCCTCCCATTTATTTAAAAATATATTTGCCACACTAGGGGCATATCTAGCCCCCATCGCAACGCCTTTAAGTTGCTTGAAAAACTCCCCTTGGTGCCAAAAGTAATTGTTGGACATAACCTTTAATTTGATTGAAAAACTCCCCCTGTCCATAGTGACCAATCATGAGCGATGTCCCCCATTAAATAGTCGGGAATATGGCGGTGACTTTAAGCTTCCTGAGGATGCACTCTGCGCAAAAGGCATTGAGGCTTGAGCCGCACATGCCACTTCTGGTTCCTCTGACGTCACATCCAGGCAATGGAACGCACGCCAACCACAGGATGGGCGGCGCCTGTGTGGAGGGAGAGATCCCCCTAGTGAGCTGTTTGGGTTGGTGCTTCCTATGGCACCTGTAATACGTGAGTAACTTTTCATGTAAACCAATCAATATACAATTATTGGGATTTTTTTTTTCTATCAAAGACATGTAGCAGAATACATTTTGTCCAAAATTTCTGGTGAAATTTTATTGGATGTTTTGTAGCAGAGAGTAAAAAAATTTTTTTTTCAGGATTTTTCATATATCGATTTTTTCCATTATATCGCAAATAATAAAAAAAAAAAAAAAACCCAACAGTGATCAAATCCCACCAAAAGAAAGCTCTGTTTGTGTGAAAAAAATTATATAAATTTCGGTTGGGTACAAAGTTGCATGATCAATTACCAGGTAAAGTAGCGTAGTGTTAAATAGCAAAAAAAGGGCCTGGTCATAAAGAGGGTAAAAACTTGTTGAGCTCAAGTAGTTGAACATTTTGTTTACCATGCAAACCACATACTGTAAGGGGCTGACACCTCATTTACATTTTTTGGTGGTTAGGTGAGCCATGTCCTACAACCGGGATAATGTAGGTAGGGTTGGGTGCTCAAACCTTTGAAGAGCAAGGGCCACTTAAGTGATCTGGTAACTGGTCGCAGGCTACAATAAAATAAAATGCTTCAGAATTTAGAATATTTGCTTATGCGACTCCTACTCCCTCTGTGACTGCCTGTTTTTTCTGCTTCTGGCGCCGGCTTTATTTACTCTGATGCTCTAGGATGGTGGGTCAGCAAGCTCAGATCGCAATCAATGGATTGCCATCCCCGCCAAAATACGCACTTTCCTAACCCCAGAAAACACTAAGCAGCTCATCCACTCCCTCATCATATCACGACTCGACTACTGCAACTCCCTCCTCACTGGCCTGCCTCGCCGCTGGCTATCCCCGCTTCAGTCCATCCTGAATACGGCTGCCAGACTCATTCACCTTTCCAACCGCTCCGTTTCCGCCACCCCCCTCTGCTAATCCCTAAACTGGCTTCCGATTGCGCAGCGGATCAAATTCAAAATCCTAACACTGACGTACAAAGCCATCCACCATACTGCCCCGAACTACATCACTGACCTAATATCCAAGTACCCCCCAGCACGCACACTCCGCTCCTCACAAGACCTCCTTCTCTCTAGTTCCCTGGTCTCCTCCTCCCATGCCCATGCCCGCCTCCAGGACTTCTCCAGGGTGTCACCCATCCTCTGGAACTCCCTGCCCCCAACCCATCAGATTATCACCTACTCTTCTCTCCTTTAGGAGCACCCTGAAAACCCATCTCTTCAGGGAAAGCCTACCCCACCCCCCTGCTAACTTGCCGACCTCCTCCACTCTTCCTACCACTCCATCCCCCACAGCTATCTCCTCCTGTGTCACCATCCCCTCCCTCCTAGATTGTAAGCTCGAAAGAGCAGGGCCCTCAATCCCCTCATGTTTTGCATTGTATTGGTATTGTTCTGTCACATGTTCTGTCCCCCTTTGTAATGTACAGCGCTGAGCGAACTATCAGCGCTTTATAAATACTGTATAATAATAATATACTTCCTTGGTTTGAGGTCCCGGGCCGCATGTCACTCACAGGCCACAGGTGGAGCACAAAGAACCAGCAAACACAAATGCTCCTGCGCTTGGGGATAGACTCGATGCAGGCTACAACCACATTAAGAATGTCCTGGAACATGCACACCTTGCTGCCCTCAAAAGATCGGGGAAATCCAAATATACTGAATGAGGAAAGAACAAACAGAGGGCGCACGGGTGCATTACCGGAAAAAGTTTAATAAGAACTAAAGTAGGTGTTGTTGTACTCACAAAGGACGACAAAGTCAAGGCACGTCATAAAAGAACAGCTGGGTCAACACCGCGCTGAGTAATTGTCAGGGCAGGAGCTGAGGAACGGACAGGCAGGCCTAACAATGTAACGCACTGGCTGACGACAACCACCACCCACAGACCAAAGTCCCTCAGGGCGGGGAGTCTAAGTCCCAGGCTGCCCTTCACCAGGGCCCCTGATGGTGGGGGGATGGACTTGACGCAGCCAGGAACCAGGTCGCGGCCCCCCCTCGAACCTACAGACACCTCAGCTGCGGTAATGGCCGCCGCCAATGGCGTGTAGCTGGTGGAAGAGACAAAAGAGTAAGCTCGAGTCAGACAAGCCGGGGTCAACAACAACAGGACAGAACAGTACAGGACAGCAGACGAGAATCACAGGTCACGAGCC